ACTAAGGTACAGCCTCCATCTACCTCACCAGCATACTATAGATAAGGTTTAGAAAGCAACTGTCCATCCATCATCCAATCTGAGCCTCACAATTAGCCTTTGAAGTAGCAGGGGATGATTAGTAACTTCATTTTGTAGATGAGGTTAACTGAAGCTCAAGTGTGAAGTCCCCCTACGGTGCGCTCCTCAAGTATAGGGACAGCACACTTTTCACATTTATAAACTCCAAGTCTGAAAGATAGATAGATGCTTCAGAGATGGCTCACCCACTGCCCTGATGTCCTACAGCAAATGAGAGGCATGGCTGCACCTGGAGCTTAGCTAGGCCATGTGTCTGTGAGTCAAATACAGATGAAGATAAATAACAATTTTGCACACAGAAGCAGTGGGCATAGGTTAAGTGTTACAGAGTGTTACAGACAACAAATTGTGTGGGAATCAAAGGCGCAAGCAATCGTGGAAAACTGGGCTAGCTAGCTGTTCAGAGAGACTTATTAGTGAATATACAAAAAAATATATTTTATATAAAATTATAATTATATATTACACACAAAAGAAGCTAGGCTTTCCACAGGCCAAGAAGGCAAAGCAGCATTTGAAGTTGGAAGGAAGGACATAAGAAAAGAAATAGAACAGGCTCAGCAGTTAGTGGCAGTTCTATGTATGAGAAGGTAGTGAAAGAAAGGTAAGTAATGACTAATATAAAGATCTGTGAATGTCAGAATAAGCTATTAGGCCTTTAACACACTGGAAATGGGTAACCACTAAGTCTGGGGATCCAGAAAAGTGGAAATTAAACATATAAAATATGCATTTCAAGACAACTGACAAAGAAGTTTTCTAGGGATTGGGGTCATACAACAACCACCAGAAATAATCAGACTGATAAAACTAAGGACAAAGAGAAGAATTATTGATAACCGCAATGCTTAAAGGCTGTACTAATTTAGAAAACTATTTGAAGCCCCAAGACTGAACGGTACCTTCAATAAAAGAATACACAGCAAGTTGCAAGGGAGCTTTGGAGCATTATCCTTCAAGGGGATAATCTGATAAGCTAGATCCATGGTGTGCCAAACTAGAAGACAGGTGTGAAGAGCTGGGAGCAAGCCAACCAAGAGAAACTCTAATGTTTAAAGTTCAAATGGAAACACATCAGCAGTATTCACTGCCATACTGGCAAGAAGGGCTTAAGAAGTAACCCAAGTAGATTGCCCATCTGTTTCAACCTTGCAAAAGTTATCTGTTAAAGATTTCTCTGTATTTGACAAGGCAACTTAGTACTTGCTGAAACTGAAGAGTTGTAAAGCTTTTAAGAGCAGAGAAAGAAATTTCTTTTGACAGATCAAGCTGTGATACTCATCTAGATTACAATTCAGACTGAAATAATAAAATGAGTAAAATCTTTTTGCATTTGGCTTACTTTTTTTACATGATGCTAAATGTACATAATAATTTGATCATTCTCCCTGGAAATACATTAATACAGTTTTAAAAGTATAGAAAATATCGTTTTCAAGTATATCAATAATCCCAAAAGAAAAGAATATTCCTCCAATTTTCAAGCATATACAAAGATTACTAATATCAGTCCTAATTATGCTCCACTTTCTTTGAACCATTTAAATGCTTTAGGATAAAGATATATTGTGCTAATAATGGCATGTCATTTCTTAAATATATTTTAAATTAAATTTTTTTCTAATTTCTGTTCTAATTTCTTCTTTGACTCATAAATTACTTACAAGTGTATTTATTTCCAAGCAGTTAAGGATTTCTTAGTAAACTCTGTTATTGAGTTTAATTCCATTGTGATCAGAAAACAATTTTGATCTTGAAATCTGCGGGAACTTTCTATAGGGCCTGGCAAATAATTTTCTTTTGGCAAATCTTCCACTTTAATGAAAGCAAATTCTATTTTTGTTGGGTGTAGCATTCTATATATGTCCATTAGGTCAAGTTTACTCATAATTTTATTAAGATTTTTATATCATTACTAATTTTTTATCTGTCTGTTCTATAAACTCTTGAAGAGTGTTAATGTCTCCCACTAAGAATGCAGAGTTGTCTTATTTTAGCTGTCAATTTTGGCTTTATATATTTTGAAGTTACATTATTTGTCACATATAAGTTTAAGATTGTGATCCTGACCCTGTTATCACTACAAAATAATCTCTATCTCCAAGTAGCATTTACCAGATACTTGATCTGATATTAGTGTTGCTATACCAGCTTTGCTTCAGTTGGTGCTTGTACCTATATATCCTCTGGCATCCTTTCGTTTAAAGTATGTTCCTTGTAAGCAGTATACAATAGAGTTTTGGTGATTTATTCAGGCAGGCAATTTTAGACTTTTACTTGGGAGTATTTAGTCCATTTCCATTAAATGTAATTACTTATATAGATGGATTTATAGCTGCCATCTTATTCTTTATGTTTTCAATTTGACCCACCTATTTTATGTCCTCCTTTTATTCCTTTTTTAAATTAATCCAATTTTGTTTTACTCCATTTTCCCTCTTTTAACTTGTTAGATATACACATTTTAAGAGTTGCCTTAGAGATACAATATGCATCCATACCGGATTAAAAGTCAATGCAAATGATTACTTTTACCATCCAGCCCCACTAATAATTCTAGGATCTTAAAACACTTTACCTTCTTCAAACCCCTCTTGCCTCTTGTACTATCATACATTTTAGTTTTATATACATTTTAAAATCTAAAAACACTGTTTTTCATGGTCAACATTCATTCATATTTTACATACACATCACCCTTTATGATGACCTCACTCCTTCCTGCATTTCCATCTGGGAGTATTGTTCTTCTGTCTAAAGTATCTCTTCTTAGTATTTCTTATAATGCAGGTCCATGACTGACAAAATTCCCTCAGTTTTTCTCTGAAAATATCTTTATTCCACCTACATTTTAAAGGAAATTTTTGCTAGAAATGGAATTCTAGAGATTTTTGGATTTTATTTTTTTTATTAGTTAGATGGCCACCTTACTGTCTTTTTTGTTGTTGTAGTTGCTATTGTTTTTGTTTTAATCATTTCTTTTAAGATGTGATAGTCATATTATTTGTTACTCCTTTAAAAGCAATGTGTCCTTTTCTATCCTCTAGTTGTATTCTAGAGATTTTTGGATTTTATTTTTTTTATTAGTTAGATGGCCACCTTACTGTCTTTTTTGTTGTTGTAGTTGCTATTGTTTTTGTTTTAATCATTTCTTTTAAGATGTGATAGTCATATTATTTGTTACTCCTTTAAAAGCAATGTGTCCTTTTCTATCCTCTAGTTGCTTTGAAGATGTTTCCTTTATCATAAGTTTCCACCGTGTTATCTTGATGTGCAAAGACAGGTCTCCTTTGCAGCCATTCTGCTTGGGGTTTTCTAAGTTCTCTGAATCTGTAGCAGCTGCCTTTCAGCATTTTATAAAATGCTTAGTATTATCTCTTCAAATATTGTTTCTGCCCTATTCTCTCTCTTCACCTTCTGGGGTTCCAATACTACATGTGTTAGATCTTTTAACCACGTCTTTAATACCCTTATCTATTTCTTTTTTACATTCTTTCTTTTCTGTGTTTTAGCATGAAATTATCTACTGACCTGCCTCCCTAATAATTAATCCTATCTTATGCTGTAACCAATCTGCTATTGACTCTAGTCATTAGATTCTAATTTCAAATATTATACTTGATGTTCTACAATATCCATTTGGTTCTTTATGATAAATTGGACTGAAATTCCCTATTCCTCCATCTACTTTATCTTCTCCTCTATCATCTTAAACATATTATTTATGGTTATTTTTAAGTACCTGTCAGCTAACTTAAATATCAGAGTCATGCAGGTCTCTTTCTATTACCTTATGAGACATATGATCTTGTATCTTAGATGCCTCCCCCCCCCTTTTTACTGTATGCTATACATTGTAGGGTGTCTTTATATTATTTTCCACCTAACAAAAAAGGACAGAGGCCACCCTTGTACTCTGCTACACAGGTGGAGAGAGGGCTGATCACCAATACAGGACAGGATTGGGCTGGGTCTCCATTTTTGTAGGATTCAGTCTGCCTCTGGTTTGCCCCTGTTCTTAAGGCATAGCTCCCCATGGAATTCAGTTATAAGTCTTTGTCAACATTAGACTCAGTTCTGCCTGCAAGAAGTTTTCAGGACAGCTCTTTGCCCTCCTTGACATAATTCTTGAGAAGACTAATCACATGTTCGGGGCCCCTCCAGTTTCATTTGTTTTTTATTCTAGTCCCAGAAACCTCTTCTGGCTTTTCTGTCTCTCAGAAGCAGCCTTCTAGCTAGGGCCAGACCTGGACTCTTCTCTGCTTATGACACCTAGAAATCGGTAGCTGCCCCAGGTGAGACGTAGTTACAGATCTTCAGTGTCAATCGACGGTTCCCTAGGGTTTTCATCTCTTGCCCGTTCTGTTTTCAGATTCCTGCCACCACAGGTCCACATTTCAATACATCAGCATGAGGCTGTGGGAGATTTCAGTGAGGCGTCCGTCTCTTCAGCTGTCTTTCGAACGTCTTACTGGGGAAACCAGCTGTGGGTCTGAAGCTCTCCTTTCCCACCCACGTCTCCAATTTGTCACTCCAGCCACATGTAACCAGAAAACTTTGCTAGTTTCTCTTTCACTCAGTAGAGACCCTCTGCCTCAGCTTACTTCTCTGAAATCAGCAAGCTTCTGCAGAAAGTCAAGCAGTTGCTGATCCTCAGTGCCCCTCTGAGTGATAATCCCTCCTCTGGAGTTTCAGTCCAACTATTCCTCAGTGCTTGCAGAGCACTTCAGAGCCCTTGAAAATATGATTTTTACAGATGTTGTCAGTCTATAATCAACTACATATTATACCTTATGCTACTAATTACAGTCAATGAATTTCTACATATTTATAAGATATTTAGTTGTCTTGATGTTTTCCAAAGTACAGTCTACATATGCTTTTAAAATAAAAGCATCAGTAAAACAGTCACTTCTTACCTCTTCATAAAACTTCACCTGAGGTACAGCTTCATTAATTTCATTCAAACAAAAATCTTTAAATAGCAAGAAACCTAAAGGAAAAAAATAAAAAATTTCAGGGTGGGTAATAAATTGAAATATTACTCCACAGGGTGTTTTCAAAGTAATATGTTTATATTTCAACCTCTTCCTCCCCTACCTTCAAAAATAATAATGATTTGAGGGCACCTGGGTGGCTCAGTCAGTTAAGCATCCAACTTGATTTTGGCTCAGATCAAGATGTCAGGGTTGTGAGATCATGCCTCATTTCTGGCTCTGCGTGGAGCATGGAACCAGCTTAAGATTCTCTCCCTCCTTTTCCCTCTGTCCCTCATCCCTCCTTCCTCCCTCTCAAAAATTAATAATAATAACAACAAAGATTTCAAAGGGCTAAGTATACCCTAGAAGGAAATATTCCACATAAGGTAAGAGTACCACATACATGCCTCCTTACTTTGAGTTCCTTCTCTACTGGTAACCCCCCACACACACACACACCGCTTTTAAAAACTACATGATAAGCAGTGCCAGTAGTCACCACTCCTTACAGCCACTGGTCACTACAGTAAACAGAAGAGTTACCGAAGAAATAAGAGATATGGGTAGTGTGAAAGTGCTGGTAAGAGTCATCATAAAGCTAATACATACTATGCCCACATAAACAGGACTAAATTCCCTAAAAACAAACAAACAAAAACCAGAAGGACTTTCCTGACCTTCCCAGCTTTTCCTCTTACCACTTACTACATCAAAGTCCCCACCAAATACCTTGTGCCAGAGCAGATTACCTACTCCAGATCATTCTCTACTCCTTCACAGCACCATGCCTCACCTTTAATCAATCAGCACCTTCTACCTGGAATACCACCTCCACTGCACAGTGCCTGGTACACAGGAGGAGTTCCATAGGTGTTTGTTGAACAAATGCTTGGTTACATATCCCTTCCAATATGGTTCTGTCAAAGTACTTAGCACACTCCAATTAATTATTTGATTGATAAGTTACCACCCCACGCTCACATGTGCAAACCAATCACCTAGCTTAAAGGTCTAGCACACAGTCAAGCCTAAACGAATGAATTTCACTGAGACAAGCTGATAACCAGACTGAGAGTAAAGACCATAAAAAGTCACAAAATGAAAAAGTCAAAACAATGAAAGGACTGCTGGAAGAAACAGAGGTCACAGAAGGGAACTGAAGGAAAGACACACAAGTTTGAGAGGTTGGGAGAAGGCAGACTGGAATTCCCCAGGTAGGAGGGAGGAGGCAAAAGAAGCAGCATTGACAGGTTCTAACTGAGGTTAGCCAAAGAAATCATGTAACTTGAACCTGTTATTCCTCCAAAAATTCCCATCCATAGTTCCAGGAAGATGACCACTGAAAATGGTAAATATTCACTGAGTGGAGCCAGAAGAAAGTATTCGGACTATTTAGTCAAATAGACAAGGCCAGACTGACTCAGGCCAGGTGCAGCCTGGCAGCAGGGATATGACCACACTCATCTCATCTCAAGGAACAGGACAGACTGACACTCCACTTGAAGCAAGCAGGAAATTCAAGACGCAGACAAACAGAAAGAGCTGAAAATGCAAATCTCTACCTATTTGCACGTTAGTATTTTTGTCTTAAATAAGAGACATGGGTTACCTTTTCATTCTCATGCATTTCAAAGTATGTCATTTCCAATATCCTTTGTCATTTCTTCTTTGACTCATGAGTCATTCAGAAATGTGTGGTTTGAGTTCCAGATATTTTGGGGTTTTCAGGTATTTTTCTGATACTGATTTCTGTTTAATTCTGCTGTGGTCAGAGAATATGTTCAGTATGATTTCAAAGCTTTCAAATTTATTGAAATGGCTCTGGCCCCAAATCTGGTCCATCTAGGTGAATGCTTCATGGACACCCGGGGAGACAAGCATATAGCATAGAGCATTCCATTAAACAAAATAAAATGGCAATGCAGCCAACTTGGTTAGTAGGGTTGTTCGAGTCCCTCATCCAAATCCTTACTGAATATTTGTCTACTTATATATCCACTATCAGAGGACTGCTGAAATCCCCATTGGTAATTGTGGATTTGCTCATCTTTTTTCAGTTGTGTCAGGTTTTGGTTCATGTATTTCTTTTTCTATTTTTAGGAGAGAAAACTAAAATGAGAATTTGAACTGAGGTTATTTTGATCATATGAGAGATGTTTTTGTGGCGTCTAAAAGACAAAATGAACTAACATGCCACATGTGGACCACTGGCTTTGGGCTGAACTTGGAATCAAGGGGAAATGGTTCATCATGCCATCATGCCCTCTGAATCGGGCCCTACTTTCTCCTCTAGCCTCTTCTTAGACTGTTCTCTCCCAAGCTCATGGCACATGTGTCTGCATTCCAGTTCCTCTCTAATACCAAACCCAATCTGTTCTCAGGGCTACCAACTTGCTATCCCCCCTTCCTAAAACATGCTCTTTGACTTTGCGGACCTGCAGAACTCCGCTCAAATGCTCTCTCCTTCGGCCTTCTAGGATTCTCATTCATTTTCATTCTCTCTCTAAGATACATGTCTGCGTGTATAGACGCTTTGTTTATAGACCTTGTGACTAGCAAAAATTATCAGATGCATATGCTTATTTGTTTCTTTCCTATCTACCTCCCCTACAACAATGTAAACTGCATATGGAAAGGCCAAGAGGTCTTATTCTCTACTACATATGTAAGAACAAGAACATCATGACATAGAGGGAGTGCAGGAAGGAAGGAGGGAGGAAGAGGGGACAGGAGACGAGGGACAATGGGACGTCTGGGTAGCTCTGTTGTTAAGCATCTGTCTTTGACTCAGGGTGGGATCCTGGAGTCCTGGGATCGAGTCCCACATCGGGCTCCCTGCACAGAGCCTGCTTCTCCCTCTGCCTGTGTCTCTGCCTCTCTCTCTCATGAATAAATAAATAAAATCTTAAAAAAAAAAAAAAAAAGGAGAGGAGGGACAAGAAAGGAAAAGGGAAGAGGGAAGAAGGAGGGAGGGAAGAAGAGAGGGGTAGCAGAGGGAGGGGAAGGGAGGAGGAAGAAGGTGGATCAGGGAGAGAGGGAGATGAATGAATGCACATCTAACTGCAAATGTTTCTACCTACTTCTTTAATGCAATTTCCACTGTCAATGTGTGGGATGAGCCAAAGAATAACTATAACATACTGAAGGGGAAAAGCCCCATTATTTTCCTTGTCTGTGCACAAACTGAAGCCTTACTTTCTGTCTCAGCAGCTACTAAAATGGAACAGCAAGAAAAAAGGTATTTTGCCTTTTGGATAAACTCTAGATCACTGTGTTTCAGGCTGAGAGCAATTTCCCTTCATCAGGTTTAAATTACACACACACACAAAAAAAAACCCAAGTGAAGCATTTCTCAGATTAGAACAAAACTAAAAGGGCAAAAATAAGGAAATAATTTGCCTAACAGGTTCACTTCATCAGTGGTTTTTCTCCAGATTTTAAAGAATAAAAAATAGTGACCAAACACCTGCTTTACTAGATAACTGTGTAATATATTCACCCTTGTTTCTTTATTTGGGCCACTGCAAACTGCCTGCACATTGATTAACTTTTGAGTATATATAACATTCAGAAAAAGTAAACTATTCCAACTTGTCACCACAATACTTCGCAAAAATTAGGAGAAAGAATTGTATTGCTTTTTATAAAATACCACTGAAAACTTCCTATAATATACAAATATAACTTTTATATCATATTTTATAAAATATCAATTAAGAACTTTTTTAAGTTCTAAATGTAAGTTTCTATGAGAAATTTTTTGAAATGCTGCTTCCTAAAAAGTTTTCAAAGGAGAAAGAAAAATATGAAAAAAGTCTTGCAAAAAACAGTATCTGTCTTAAGTTTTGCCAAGGAGATTCAAACACTGGGAAGGATAGATTGTATAATTGCTAAAAGTTTCTACCAATACTGACTGATTTGACAAAGCATTTCCTGAGTATCTACCAGGACCCACTGTGCTATATATATTGGGGATACAATGGTAAAGACAGAATTTTTCCTATAGGGGCTTATGGATTGGTATAAGGAACAGACAACAAAGAAGTACACAAATATAACAAGTGTAATTTATGGTTAATGATATAAGGAAATTTTAAAAAGTGCTGAGATAGGGATCCCTGGGTGGCGCAGCGGTTTGGCGCCTGCCTTTGGCCCAGGGCGCGATCCTGGAGACCCGGGATCGAATCCCACATCGGGCTCCTGGTGCATGGAGCCTGCTTCTCCCTCTGCCTATGTCTCTGCCTCTCTCTCTCTCTCTCTCTCTCTATCATAAATAAATTTTAAAAAAAAATTAAAAAAAAAAGTGCTGAGATAATCCTGATGATAAAAAAGAGGAAAAGTATGTCATACAGAACAACAGTAAGACCTCTCTGGTCTGTGAGATGAACAAATTACAAAGCATTTCAGATTAGAAAAAGTCTAAAATGTTTAATCTTACTTCTAGTCAATAATTTATTAGAGGTCTTAGCCAGCATAATGAAGCATGAAAAGGAAATAAAAGTCATTCAAAATGGAAAGGAAGATTTAAAACTGATTCTATTCAGGGTGCCTGGGCAGCCCAGTTGGTTAAGCGTCCAAATCATGATTTCTGCTCAGGTCATGATCTCATGGTCATGAGACTGAGCCCCATGCTGGGCTCCACAGAGTCTGCTTAAGATTCTCTCCCTCTGCCCCCCCATAAATAAATAAATAAATAAATCTGTAAAAAAGATCTTAAAAATAAAACAGATTCTTTCATAGACAAGCTGGTTATCTATATAGCAAATCCTATCTACAATGGTACTAGGATACATAAAGGAATTTAGCAAGGCCCCAAGATATAAGGCCATTAGATAAGAATTAATAACATTCTGATATGCTCACATCACACAATTTTAAAACAGAATTTTAAAACAAGCCATTTGCAATAATATCAAAGAATAATCAATACTTAGGAATAAATAATTAAGAGATATATAAGACTCTTATGTTGAAAACTATAGAATATTACTGATAAAAATTAAAGAAGACATAA